TTTAAATTCTCATTTAGCTATTTTTACAGGTAAATATTTCTACATCATATTAGGTTTCCTGCCCTCAAACTACCCAATTAATTGATATTCAGTAATATTCCTGCCATTTTGAAAGGTTTCTGAATTACAATCCAGATAACAGAGTGTAGGGCTTCATTCCAAGACACTCGGGGTTCCTTGGACTTTGGGTAGTCTCACAGTCCACACTGGTTTCATGTCACAAGTTAAGTCCCTTCATGTTAGTACATGCACGAAGCTAACTCTTAATTAAGGGAGAAAATCATGAATGGTGACCTACCTGCCACAAAGGGGCATTCAGCTGATGAATCACCACATTCAACTGATGATTTCTTGCAAAGGCTACAATGGCATCATTGCCAGCAAAAGTACCAGGCTTTGCCAAACTGGCCACTGCAAGGAAACAAGAGAGAAGAGAGAAATGAAGATTTTATAATGGAAAAATCTACATGAAACATACTTTGGGGCTTATTTAGTTCCAAGTAAAGAGCATACATCTTAAGAGTCCACTAGCTTTGAGAGAGTCCAGAAATTTCATTAGTTGAACACTGCAAACTGCTACTCAAAATGGTTCACGTATTTAGTCCTTCAGTAAACATTTACTGTGTGTTTCTTATATGACTGGGTTTATACCAGACACCGGGAATGCAAGAATAAGCACAGATTTCGTAATAGCAAGCATTAATGAATGCTTATTATAGAGTGTAAGGATCCCTGATTGTACAGTGAGTTAAGTGTTGGGTTGCAAACCACAAGTCAGCAGTTCTAAACCCACCAGCCACTCCTCCTGAGAAAGATGAGGCTATCTGTTCTGGTAAAGACTCAAGTCTTGGAAACCACAAGGAGCAGTTCTACTCTGTACTAGAGAGTTACTATGAGTTGGAATCAATTCATGGAAATAACTTTGGTTTTGGTATTTTATGATGTACTCCATTTTATAACTGAGGCACAGAATAATGCATAACTACACCCAAGTTCACAGAGCCAGTACACAGTACAGCTAAAATCTCATCCCAGGCAGCGTGGCTCCAAGGCCACTCCACTCCACTACCTGCCATCCAACTTACCCTCAAGTAGTGGGGGACAAACAAGAAGACAGCTACTATGGCTGCCCAGGTGCCAGGGAAGGATTAAGTTGCAGCTATCTGGTGTTGGAAGTTGTGTGCTGTCAAGTTGGTTCCGACTCATAGTGACCCTGTTCAGGGCTTCAAGACTATCAGATCTTTCCAGGAGCAGAAAACCTCATCTCTCTCCCAAGGAGCAGCTGGTGGGTTCAAACTGCTGACCTTGTAGTTAGCAGCCCAACCCATAACCACTATACTAACACAGTATGTTATGAGAGCACAGCAAAAGGGAATCAAAGTCAGGTGAGTAATAAGGAGATAAGATGTATGAGATACGCTTCTTCCTGGGACACCTCGGTCAATACCCAAAGGACAGGAGTTAAAGGAAGACTGAGTGATGCTCCAAGCAGAGACAAGAGGGAATAAGGAGTAGACAGTGAGGCAGACACTCAGAATCCTGAAGTCAGGGCTGGGACCAGGAATAAAGTGGGAGAGAAAACAAGTAGAGGCATTTTAAAATCACAAACCAACACATGAGCAGGCACATAAGCTTGCTGGTGCCCATGTTGGTCTACCAGTGAGTAGAAGAGGGGAAAAGGCAGCAATGAAGAAATGGGCTGAATTCAACCACATTCCATAGGCTCCTGTGGTCCTTGGAAATGAGAGAGAGAACAAGAAGGGCTGGTTGGTCAAAATATGGTGAGAACTGGGGACACCTGAGCCTATGGACAAGTACATAGCCACAGAAGTCTAGAGCTGAGAGTGAAGCATCCATCCAGCTGATGTGAAGTGAGAGGGGTCGCACAAGAACACCCAAAGTTATAGATAGTACCATGTGACCTAGCCTTG